TCTAGTGCATATCCTAAAGCGCCACACCTAGACTCAGTGCTATAAATTGGAATAATAATAGGATACACTTCAGGGGAACTATTGTAAGTTTTGAATACATTAGTCTTTATAAAACTCAGAACTTGGCATGGCACATGTATGAACCCACTGCTATCAAGTTAATTCTGACTCATAGAAACCCTGTAGGACAGAGAAGAACTTGCCTATAGGGTTTCTATGACAGCCTCTTTACCGGGAGTAGACTTCCTCATCTCGGTGTAAACCAGCTGATACGGTTTAATTGCTGACATTTCAGTTAGCGCCCAAGCATGTAATCACTTTACCACCAGAACTTCTATTTGTTCCGTATGTATAATTGTTGTTGTTAAGTATTGTCGAATCGGTTCCAGCCAAATATAGAGGTGGTGATGGTGTGTCGTGGAGTTGGTTCCAACTCATAACGACCCTGTACAAGGTTTTCAAGGTTGTAAATCTTTCTTTTTTTTAAGTTTTTATTGTGAATTCTGTGATAGTTTACATGGGAGAATATTAGCTTTATATTCATCCTATCACATTTTGTTTCATTGCAATGATTAAAATCCCCTTCATACATCATCAAACAACCAAAGGGTACACCCCGCAAGCTTGCCCCCCGCCCGTTAGCACACAGCCCCTCTCCCTCCCTGAATCCAGAGTCCCCAGCTACTCCATCTCTCCACATCATCGTCTCTGCCTCCATCTCTGGCATCACTGCTTCTCTAGGTAGGGACCCGTACTCTGCTCTTCTCACTTGATGGTCCCAGGGACCTCTGCTCCTGAACTGCAAATCAAACACTCCCTTCCTTTTGTTACAAAACATCTACCTTTACATTTCCAACCCTCACAGTCAGTCCTAATAGCAGTTATTCACCATTGTGCCACAAGAGTCTTATCCCCATCTCCTTTTATCAGCCCCGTCCAGACAGGTTGATTCGACCTTCCCCCACAGCCCCTGGATCTAGGCTCCCTCTAGAAAGCTTGTAAGCCAGTCACTTCTTGCCTTTGTAGACACCCACTTTTTGTGTAGCCAGTGTCTAAGTTGCCCATCTCTGCCAACCCTGTGTAGTATCAAGGGGGTGGGAGTGATCCTTGCTGTAAAGATTTGTTCCTTTTTTTGAGCTACTACATCCATAAGTATAGGTAAAGTTCATCACAGGTTATTCTTTTTTTCCCCCTCTTCTTTCTTCTTCTAGTTGAGTTCTGATCATCCAGCAATCGAAGCCAGGTTAAGTGGGTACTATCTGCAAGTGTGGGTGTTCTTGTGCATCTCCCCTCACTTCATATCAGCTGGATGCTTCACTTTCCACTCTAGTCCTCTGTGGCCATGTTACTGCCTCTGGGCCCAGGAGTTCCCAGGTCTTGCCAAACTGCTGGCCAACCACGTTTCAACCCTGGTTCGTAAGAGTCTGTTGAATGTGGTCAGACTTAGCTCACATTTTCATTTCTGTTTTCCCCCACTTCCCCTTATCATTTACCAACGTGGTCACCAGCAAGACTACATGCCTGCTCATGTATTCCCTTGAGTCTTAGTCTTGGAAGGGGGCTTGCTCTGAGGGGACCCGACCACTTGCCTTGATGGCTCCCAGGCAAACAGCTGGCTTGTTCTTGTAGTAGTTGATCAGACTGGCATTATTGTCTTTTTATTTCTCCTGCCGGTCTTTCTTTCCAGAAGTATATTCTGTTCTTCTAGCTGCTCCAGGCTGATTTGCTTGTCCTTTCAAGTAGAAATTTCCCACTTGAGAAGATTCTGGATAGGGTTCAGGATTCCAACTATGGTCTTATGCAATGCAGAGGTTCCACAGGAAGCCTCTTTCAATAGGCAAGTTGTAGTCCCCTTTTAGGTATTCTAATCAGTTATAGGCTGAAGATGGACTTACAAGCTTTCTGTAGAGATGATCCTGACTATTCCTTTCTCCCCACCTCAAGTGTCTATTTTACAATGGTAGGCAAGAGAAACCAAGATTCGAAAGACAACCAAGCATCTTACATTATTTCCCCTGCTTTACCAATTCAAACCATGCCTCAATCCCTGTATCCCAGAGCCCTGCTGTTCTTCCATCTGTCTTGTTCTTCCATTCCCCTCCCACTTCTTGTGTGTTTCCCCTCCTCCCCCTCCCCCCCCTCCCCAGCACCCAAGCTATCCTGTGTCTATTCCCTATCCTGTGCTCCTTCTTCCCATCTTCCCATCCCTTCCCTCACCCTGCCCATACATCCTGGTGATCAGCAATGATTTTTTTTTCCCCCCTTTTAGGGTAAGTTCTTTTTCTTAATCTTTTACAATAAAGGTCCTATGCAGTATATCTGCTTTTGTGACTGACAAATTTCACTCAGCATAATATCCTCAAGGTTTATCCAAGTAGAGGAATTGCTGGATCATAAGGTATTTCTATTTCCAACCTTCTGAAGAAGCGCCATATTGCTTTCCAGAGTGGTTGGACCATTTTGCAATCCCACCAGCAATGTAGGAGGGTCCCAGTCTCTCTGCATTCTCACCAACATTTATTATCCTCTACTTTCTTGATCTTTGCTGTTATTGCTGGTATGAGATGATATCTCATTGTTGTTTTGATTTGCATCTCTCTAATGGCTAGTGATCATGAACATTTCTTCATATGTTTGTTGGCTGCCCGCATCTCCTCCTTGGTGAAGTGTCTGTTCATGTCCTGTGCCCATTTTTTAATTGGGTTATTTCTTTATTTCTTGTAGAGGTGTTGTAGTTTCCTATATATTTTAGAAATTAGTCCCTTGTCCGATGTGTCATTGCAAAAGATTTTTTCCCGTTCTGTGGGCTCCCTTTTTTACTCTTTTGTTGAAGTGAGGCTATAAATCTTTACGGGAGCAGAAAGTGTAATCTTTCTTCCATGGAACAGCTGGTAGTTTTGAACCACTGACCTTGAGGTTAGCAGCTCAAGTTGTAACCACCACACTACCAGAGCTCCTCTAACCATATATAGTAAGTGTGTTTAAATGTTTACAAGATGTGGATATTCACAATAGTCACTGGCTTATAATAATAATAGCAGCATAATAATAAAATAATAATAAAAGTTAAGGCTTACTTAACTAATCCATACCAAAAGGTAAATGAAATTTGTATTCTACTAGAGCAGTTGATTTCTGTTGGATTTTGCATTGTCTTGCTACATTGAGCTCTTGGATACGGGGAGACACATCTGCCTAAATGCCTGCACTAGCTGTTCTGCATGAAAGTTAGAAGAAGGAGGGAGGAAGTACAGACTTGGGAAGACAATTTGGATCAGTTTAGGTTTGTTCTTGAAACTACCCTGAAGCCCTGGGGCCTCCCTCAAATGTTCTGGAGTCAGGGTCGAGATTGCTGAGGGTGGAAAACTTAGTATTAGCAAGATTACAACAGTCTTCTTATATCCCTCACAGGGGTAAGGAAGGAATCGTAGATTTAAACACAGAGCTAATTCTCTAGAGACCTACTATTGATTAGAATCTTCTCTGACTGGTGAAGCAAGCTGGGTAACCCTTTTTTCCTGTTTGGGAAAATGATGAGAGAGTACCCTATTCATCTCTGTTGAATTATTCATCCCTGCTTCAGAGCCTTGGCACCTGCTATTTTTACTGCCTAAAATGTTTTTCCTCAGTCTTTTGGTTCCTTCTGCTCAGTGTTCACCTAACTACAGCATCTCCTTTAGGTGAGGAGGACCAGGCAGTCTCTGGTGTATAGGTCCCTTGATTCATATCCTAGCTTTGCTGCCTACCAGCTGGGTGACCCTAACCAGGCATGGCCCTATACTACACTGTGGCTTCTGCATTGAATGATAGTAAGCCATCATTGTTGGGTTCCAGCTGAAATGTCCTTTCTTCTACGTAAAAGAAGAACGCTGTTTCTAGAACCATTGTATTAAGTTCAGGGTTGTGACTTCGTTAGATTTCACTTTGATTTGAATAGATGTTGGGAAAAACTGTAATGAAATGTAACCACCTTTGAAACTTGCACTCACAGTTTGTTCACAGTTTTCATTTCCTATTGCTTTTTTTCTTTTTTCTTTGTGTCCTACCGATACTTACTTCATAGATATTCAGTAGACATGGGTTCTATGGTGTAACAAGATTGGGAAAGGATAGGTTAAAGAAGCAACAAGCCAGTGTTTACCACAGCACTATTTATAATAGCCAATAGGTAGAAACAGCCTAAATATCCATCAACATGAATGGATGAAATGAAATGTGGTGTACTTATATGCAATGGAATATAAATCAGCCATTGAAGAAATGAAATCCTGATACCTGGTACCGCATGGATGAACCCTTAACACAACATGCTGAGGGAAATGAGTCTCTTACAAAAGGAGAAACACAAGGGGGCTTCAGAAAGTTCTTTTAGAAGATAGTGGATATTTTCCACAAACTCTTTGAAGCCATCTCTTAGTGTGTGATCCCACTTACATGAAAGAAAGACTATGCAGATGTGGAGGCCAAAGTTCATTGGTGGTTACTAGGAATGGGCAGAAGTTGTTGCATAGGGAACACAGTAAGGTGTCTCTTAAGGAGGATGGAAAAATTTGGAAAAAAAGAGTGGTGATGGGTACAGGACATGGAGCATGTAATTAACATCACTGAATTCAACATGTAAAAATTGTTGAAATGGTAAATGCTTTATTACATGTATTTCTACAACTCTGAAAAAAAAATCTAACGTCTCAGAGACTGCTGTGTGCTAGTGTGCTCTTTGCTTCTTGTGGGAGGGGGAGGGACTGCAATGTTGCTTAGCATTATTCATCATGGAAGCCTTTTTTCATGAGCTACAGTGCCGTGTTGGTGTCCTCAGAACATACCCTGGGAAGCACTGCTTTGTTTTCTGTGTCTCTCCCACCACCAAATGTTAGTACTTCTCGGGATATAAACAAACAGACGGCTTGCGATGTGGTACCAGCAATGCAAGGGCTTTGACTGTGTCGACAGCATTGCGTAGCTTATAATTATGCTTTTCTTCTCCCTCTTTCCCCAAACAGAGAAGGAAACCTTTCTGGACCCTTTTGTCCTCCGAGACCTCCTGCCTGCATCCCTGGGCAGCTATTACCGCTACACAGGTTCTTTGACCACGCCGCCGTGTAGTGAAATTGTGGAGTGGATTGTCTTCCGGAGGCCTGTGCCCATCTCCTATCACCAGGTAGATATTAAGAACTACGTGGGACTCCTGAGTTTACTTGTTTCTCGGGATTTGTTTTGTTGTCTACTCATTGTTGATTCCTTCATTCTTTCATGCAACAGTCATGTTTTCAACCCAAAGACTATAAAACATAGAGTATGGATGTTGTTGTTATGTGCCGTGGAGTCGGTTCCAACTCATAGTGACCCTGCACAGGGTTTCCGAGGCTGTAAATCTTTATGGGAGCAGAAAGCCTCATCTTTCTCCCACAGAACAGCTGCTAGTTTTGAACTGCTGACCTTGCGCTTTGCAGCCCGATTTGTAACCACTACGCCACCAGAGCTCCTTATAGAGTATGGTATCTCACTACAAATTAACTAACTAGTTGAAAAGAATTACAGGCGTGAAATTAGGTAATGCTTATGTACTCAGTCTTTAGGAAGTGATCGTTGCTATCTGCTGTGAAAGGCACACTAGTGACACAGTAGTTAAGCACTTGGCAGCCAGCTGAGAGGAACCCATCAGGTGCTCCATGGGAGGATGATATGACAATCTGCTTCCACACAGATTCCAGCCTTAGAAAGCAGAAGGGGCAGTTCTGCCCTGCCCTGTAGGGTCTCGGGCTCACAGGCAACTTGATGGCAGTGGGTTTGGTTTTATTATCCTCTAAGCTCTGGTAGTGTAGTGGTTACGAATCGGGCTGTGAACCGGAAGGTCAGCAGTTCGAAACTAACAGCTGTTCCACAGGAGAAAGATGAGGCGTTCTGCTCCCGTAAAGATTTACAGCCTCGGAAACCCTATACAGGGTCGCCATGAGTCAGAACCAACTCCACGGCAAACAACATAACAATCATGGAGTCCTGGGTGGTGTCCATGGTTAATGAACTCAGCTGCTAGCCAAAAGATTGGATGTTCAGGTCCACTCAGACTGACCTCACAAGCAAGAACTGGTGATCTCTATACATACCAGTACCTTTCAGAGTAGAGAGGTTAGGTAACATGTCCAAGGACTCATGGATAAAAATGACAAAGTCAGAAACTGAGTCCTGGTTTGTCCACTTCCAAAACCCATGTTGATGACCACTGACCTGTACTGCTCCCCTCTGATTATGACCTGAACCAATTTCATAGGAAGGTGGGCATTAGGCAGAGCAATTAACGGTCTATAGAAATTAATTAAACGGAGATGAAGTTGGGAGCAGGGTCAAAGTTAGAGAAGCCACCAAGAGAATGAGAGGTCTTAAATTCACCTCATGAAGACTAATGAATGAAAGGGGACAAGTCTTAGAGAGGACATACCAGTTGTTTAGAATCCATCATGCATTTGTGTGGAAGCAGAGTAACATTATTTCTGTATGTGTGATTGTAGAAAATAGAGCCAGGATCAGTAGGGTAGTTTAATAAGAAAGAGGTTTTGAGCCATTAACCAAGATTGTCTAAAAATGGAGGACCCTTTTCAGTGCTTTTCATAGAAATGTCCCCACAGAACTGGATAGGTAATGATCTTGCTGAGCGAAGATGGAGCATTTTAGAATTACGTGATAATATCTTTAAAGTTCCCCTCTGGCCTACCAGTGTCATACTGTGATGGCTTGTGATGCTGGAAGCTATGCCATCAGTATTTTAAATCCCAGCCAAGTCACCCATGGTGAAGAAGTTTCAGTGAAACTTCCAGACTAAGACAGACTAGAAAGAAGGAGAGGTGAACCACTTCAAACCTTATGAATAGCAGTGGAACATTGTGTGGTATAGTGTCAGAAAATGCACCCCTTTAGTTGGAAGGCAATCAAAATATGGGAAGAGCAGCCTTCTCAAAGTCGAGTTGACCTTAATGATATAGATGGAGGAAAGCTGTAAAGACCTTCATTTGCTAATGGGGCACAACTCAAAAATGAGAAGAAATAGCTGCAAGCATCCATTGATAAGCAGAACATGGAATATATACAGTATGAATGTAGAAAAATTGGAATTTATAAAAAACAAAATGTAACACAAAAATCAGTGTTCTAAGCGCTAATGAGCTGAAATGGACAGGTATTGGCCATTTGCATATGAGTTTCATATGGTTGACTTCTCTGTGAAAGACAAACTGAAAAGGAATGGTGTTACATCTTTGTCAAAAAGAGCATTTCAGTATCTATTATGAAGTGCAATATTGTCTGTTATGGGATAGTATCCATATGCCTATAAGAAAGACTGCTTAATATGACTAAAGCCAATGATGAAGAATTCTACCAACTTCTTCCATCTGAAATTGATCAGACATGCAATCTGGATTCATTGAAAATTACTGGTTATTGGAACTGGGAAGTTGGAAGAAAAGAGGAGGCATTGGTAATTGGAAAATATGGCCTTAGTGATAGAAACAATGCTAGAATATCGCATGACAAAATTTTGCAGGACCAACGACTTATTCATTGCAAATACCTTGTTTCAACATTATGAATGGTGACTCTACCCATGGACCTCGGCAGACAACACACAGGAATCAGTTTGACTTATATCTGGGGAAAGATGATGGGGAAGTGTAATATCATCAGTCAAAATAAGACAAAGGACCGACTGTGGAACTAACACCAATTGCTCATATTCAAGTTCAAGCTGAAGCTGAAGAAAATTAAAACAATTCTACAAGAGCCAAAATATGACCTTGAGTCTGTCCCACCTGAATTTAGAAACTATCTTAAGAACACATTTGACTCTTTAGAAACTAATGCTCAAAGACCAGAAGAATTTTAGGATGACATCAAGAACATCATGAATGAAGAATATAAAAGGCTATTAAAAAGACAAGAAAAATAGAGAAGATCAAAATAGATATCAGAAGAGACTTGCTCTTGAATGTAGGGAATCTAGAGAGACTAGAAGAAATGATGAAGTAAAGAGTTGAACAGAAAATTTCAAAGGACAGCTTGAGAAGACAGAGTCAAATATTATAACGAGATGTGCAAAAGACCTGGAGTTAGAAAAACAAGAGGAAAAAACATGCTCAGCATTTCTCAAGCTGAAAGACTTGAAGAAAAATTCAAGCCTTGACTTTCAATATTGAAGAATTCTGTCAGCAAAAGAAGATGCAAGGAATATACTATGTACCAAAAAGAATTGTACGCTGTTCAGGCATTTCAGGAGGGTAGCATGCAATCAAGAACTAATGATGTTGTAGAAAGAAGTCCAAGCTGCACTGAAGGCATTGGCGAAAAACAAGGCTCCAAGAATTGGCAAGACATAAATTGAAATCTTTCAACAAACTCATACAGCGCTGGAGGCACTCACTTATCTATGCCAAGAAATTTGAAAGATAGCCACCTCCTGGCCAACCAATTGAAAGAGAACCATAGTTGTACCCATTGCAAAAAAAAAAAAGTGACCTAGTGGAATGCGGAAATCATCAAACAATACTATGAATATCATGTGCAAGTAAATTTTTACTGACGATAATTCAAAATCTGAGAAGCTGGATTATACAAAGAAGAACAGAATGTGGTATCGGAATTGAAGGAAGACTCATTAATAACCTGCAATATGCAGATGACACAACCTTGCATGCTGGAAATGAAAAGGACTTTAAATACTTAACTGATGAAGATCAAACACTACAACTTTCAGTATGGATTATACCTCAGTGTAAAGATAACCAAGCCCTCACCACTGGACCAATAAATAACATCATGATAAATGAACAGATTGAAGTTATCAAAGATTGCATTTATTTTGAATTTACAATCAATGCCCATGGAAGCAGCAGTCAAGAAATCAAACCGTGTATTGCATTGGACAAATCTTTTTAAAATGAACCTCCTGAAAGTGTTAAAGAGCAAAGATACCACTCTGAGGATAAGATGTGCCTGACCCAAGCTATGGTATTTTGAGTCACTTCATATGCATGAAAAAGCTGAACAATGAATAATGAAAAACCATAGAAGAACTGATGAATTTGAATTTTGGTGTTAGTAAAGAATATTGAAAGTACCATGGACTGCTAGAAGAATGAACAAGTCTGTTTTGGAAGAAGTACCATTGAATTGCTCCTTAGAAGCAATTATGGAGAGACTTCATCTTTTGTATGTTGGAGATGTTATCAGAAAGGACCAGTCCCTAGAGAAGAAGGACATCGTATTTGGTAGATTGGAAGGTCGGTGTAAAAGAAGAAGACCCCCAACGAGATGAATTTGACACAGTGGCAGCAGTAATTGCATCAAATATCACAGCAATTGTGAGGATGGCACAGGAATAGCCAGTATTATGTTCTGTTGTAATTAGGGTCATTAGCAGTCAGAACCAACTCAACAACATCTAACAACAACACCATTAAAATAATTAAGGACACAGGCAAAAAGATTATGAAGTTAGCTACACGGGGAATTGTCCAAAGACTTTTTTAACAAGGGCAGAGTGTAGAGAGTAAGGGCTGGAGGAAGTAGACTTCTGTGACATTTTGTTCAGACCTCTTTTGTATTTAAGAAATAGAAACCCAGTCAAGTGCCTCATGTAGAGGGGTTCTTTCAGAGAAATAACAGTTGAGACACTCTGAGATGCAGCCAGTTGAGTCTTATCTTGAGTCTTATCATGATCAGGACTAGAACTAGAATGTGAGAACTATAGTTTCCTCTTTGTCTTCCCCTGGCCATATGGTCCCTTAAATCTTGGAGTTTCTGACTTTGTGGTTCTGTACTTCTGCAATTTTCTTTTTTAAAAAAAAACAAACTTTTTACTTTGAATGGAGTGAAGGTTTCCAGAACAGATGATCAGTTGTACACTCAACAAACCATATACTTTGTTTTGCTACATTACAATGATTGCAATCCCCTCCATGTACTATCAGTTAACAGCATTTACCTCTATGCACTTTACCTGTTGCATTCTTTCCTCTGTCTTCTGCTACCTACATCTTTCCTTTGCTAACCTTTGTTTTGATGTTTATTGCCTGCCCTGTCACACATGTTAATATGTGTCTACTCTCTAGCTTGTGAATAATTTTTCCTCCACCAGCCCCCCCCCATAGCCATCATAGATTATTTCTT